AAGAGTTTATCACTTGACTTTGAATTTTTTCTCATTACATAATATCTAGGTACTTGTCAAATTTGTTTGGATTCGGATAAAACCAGATCCGATCCAAATCCGAATAGACTTTGGTTAGGTAATGGACGTTTCCGGATGAGGATGATGAGCTATTGACGAACTGAAAACTAATCCTCCAAAGTCATCTAGTGGCTTCTTGCGATTTCAAGTACGGATTTTTCGTATCTTCGATTGCCTGTTACCTTTTACTTTTGTGAATGAAGACATGGTATTAGATTGATATTGTAGGTGGCTGTGCCTCCAAGGGCAAAATCTTTGTTCTGGTTTTGCTCTCAGCCTAAGTCGTCTGTTGTATTTCCTCTCCAAGAAAACTGTGAAGCCTTCTTATAAATCACTCTCATGGGGGGTTTTTGGAATTGGGAACGCACTCTCTTTCGTTCATCTATCTTCGATTGACTCCACGGGACGTAGCACAAGAAAAACGTAGGCTCTTTTTGCTCTTATGTAATATCATCAATTTATCATTCTGTTTTGAATGATCTATTTTCTTCTTTCAATATTAGGGAAGTATGTTAATACATTCTGGATGCATATATGTAGGCTATTGTATTATGGTAGCATTTATATCTATTCCTATAGAAGCCACTTACGTGGCACATGTGTTTGATCTTATTTGTACGATAGTCAATTTCAGTTCATATAAAATTTTTGTTTGTAAATTTTATTTTATTATAACAAGTTAATGCTTAGTGGAAGCTAGAAAGAGCGTGTGATGTGTGGTTCATTGACTCTCTAAGTCTTTTGAGTAAAACAAAAAAAAATTCTTTTGAGTTGAAATATCTGCAAATTGCAAACGGACAAATGAGGGAGAGTGGGAGACTAGACTTATGGTATTAATTACCTTCTTTTTTTTTATATTTTCGTAAATTAAAATTTAGTAAAAATGTAATAAGATTGATTGTTATACATTTTTGTATTTATTTTGATGAATAAATATACTATGTTTAAGACAATAACATGTTAAAAATTATTCTTTGATTGTTTTATGTTCTTGGCTTAAAAGTCATTTAAACCCAGAACATGCAAATTCTTAGAGCCCATAGGGTAAAATTCCATAAGATTTTCTTTTCATTTAGTTGGATTCTCATTGTTTTCTTTTGTGGGGTTAAGGTAATGAAGTTAGTATCCAAATATCACGTAGCGCACTTTGGGCGGTTCTTAACATTATGTTAGGAGCCTCATTTATCTTTCTCTTCAGTGGAATTGTGCTAGAGAATTGCAACCAATTACCCAATAACCACCAATCTTTGAATGCCCTCTGTTTAATTAATTCAATCTTTGATTCTAATTAATTTGCTAACCATTCAGTTTCTGAAATTTTCTCTATATTGTTTTTTTGCAGTGTTATGATTTGGGTTCTTTGTAGGGAAGAGGTATGAAGAGTTAGTTTTCAGAAAGTAGAAAACATGGATTTAGGAAAGCCAGACTTCATTGTTTTCATTAATTTATAGAACATATATGGTTCTTCTATATAGATAAGATAGCTGAAAATAATTGCAAAGTTGGTGAATTTTTTTTTTTTTTAAGTTGGTGATTTATTCGAATCAGAACACCAAAAAGACACATATTATAACTTAAAGAGGTTTTTTAGATCGAGGTAAAGTCTGCGGTAGACCGACTTGTCTCCAGCTCAGTTCTTCAATCTGCTTGTTACAGAAAGAAGAGCAAAACAAACGTAAGACTATATATATATCCTCTTTTTACAGAAACAAGAGCAAAATGTTGTGGTACTTTGATTTTTACCTTGGAAGACAGGAGGGAATTCTAGCGCCACAACTTGCTATAACAGCCTTGACTCTAGATGGGTTAATCCCGTAATTGGCGAGGTAAGACTTGTACATGCAGGCGCATACTAGATTAGCGGCTTTGACCACTGCACAGCAGTCGGGTCCTGGAGGCGGCGGGTTTCTTCCAGCAACAGCTGGACGACACTTCTCCAAGTCGTTTGTGTTGATGTTACATATGGGAATGCTCATAGCTTCTTTAACCAGCATTGCTGCTATCAAAACCATAGCAAATTGCATGAGGGTTATGGTGTTCTTACCCATTT